CAGCCCGGCGCCCTGCATCTCTCTCTCCCGTTCCAGTCGTTCCCCCTCCAGCCTCTCTCGTTCCCTCTCCCTCTCACGTTCCCGTTCTCGCTCCCTCTCCCTTTCGATCTTCTCCCTCTCGATCCTTTCCCTCTCCCTCTCCCGGGCCCTCTCCCGTTCCCTTTCTCGCTCTCGCTCCAGTCTCTCTCTCTCCACCCGTTCCCGCTCTCTCTCCCGGTTTCTCTCCCGCTCGCGCTCCCTATCCAACCTCTCCCGGTCCCAGTCTCGGTCCCGGTCCCTGTCTCTCCCCCGTTCTCGTTGCCTCTCCCTCTCCCACTCCCTCCTGAGGGCCGCGTTGCTGCACTCCAGCTGGCTGTTGTTGTTGGGCGCCGCCATGGTACATTCCGTGTTGGTGGTGGAGGCCGTTTCAGTAGGCCGGTCAGTACAGGTGCCGGTGCCGATACTAACGCTCCCTCGCTCGTCGCTAGAGGCCGTCCCGTCAGATATAGTTGCGGGGGGGCGGGGCAGACGCTCTGCGCTGCAGCTGCGGTCACCAGGGCAACGGCGTGAGAGGGGCGGAGCTCGGGGCAGCGTGGTCCTCGTGCCTACGGACTTCATGGCAAATTCCTGCTCGCCTGCCACCCCACTGCCAACACTGCCCATAGTGAGGGGGTCAAAGGTCAGGGGTTAGAGGTTAGGAGTCAGGTTTGAGGAGGGTCAAAGAAACATTTGGATGCAGTGTGGGTCATCACAACCTAATGCAGGAAGTGGGGGCACACACACTAGAGGAACACAGAGAAATGAGAGGTGTTATACAACATTGTTATCGCATTAATTGGATTAGATTCAGACATCTAAATGGAGAGCAGACAAGATTCGCTTGGTTTTGACTAAATGACATGAAACCGTATCCTCCTTGAATGATTTCTAATTATTCAGGCCACTTGTTATGATGTGATATTTCCTCAGAACATATTTGTGCCACTTTGACGCAGACGGTCCTACAAACATTTGGAAACGGAGTACAAGAACAGTCTTAGGCACATCTCACCGATAGCAGGATGCTAACATGCTAAACTAAGATGAACATTCTCCTGTTTTGGCGAGGATTATTTATCATCTGGAGCATCAGAATAAAAATGCAATTCATCTTCATATTAACAAGTCGTGACAGACTATTCAAATGTTTACCATACACGGGGGCCCATTGGCATGCTCAGAAGTTGAAACACCTTTTCAGGTAGAGCTGTACGCTTTTTCTATGCCTTGTATTATCTTCATAGGGATTTGTAGCACAATGAATTAGCCTCACAGCCCTTGCTTACCATGACCTAAGTTGCTCTGTGTAATGTATTATGCATAACACTAATAATAATGCTCATAAAGAGCTGTACTCATAAGTTGGACATACCCTTGCAAGAATAGGCAAGCCATGCACCACTCTTTGAAGAAAATGTAAGCAAATCTACTTTTTTTTCAGGAAAGCCTGTATTTCACCAATAGCTACTTTTTTTCCCTTTTCTTTTTTCAACCCTGTCATGCACCCTGTAACCTGATAACATGATAAGCTGATCACAATAGTAGCCCCTATCCCTGAAAGGATTAATTTCCAAAGCTCTTCATGCAGTTGTGACTGAAATAGTTGTTGCTCTACCTGATTGTGGCTTCATATCAACAAAATGACTTAATTTCCACATATCTTCATTTATTAGAGTTCTCTCTAAGCTTTGCACGAGCGCAATTGCACACTGCTCTCACTCTCTCAGCGCACCAGGCACACACTTTATATTTCTCCACTCATTCCTTCATTTCGACCCCAGTTCAATCTCGAAACAGGGCACCACACCATTCCCATTCCCCTTATGTCAGTAGTCGACCAAGGGTGCACCCTCTGTTGTTCTAATTTTTGAAGCACACTGTACATAGACACACCAACACTCACACTCACCACTGACAAGATGCAGCAGGCGACAGGCAAACCGCTCCATTCTGAAAATCCAAATATGGAGCTAGTTTATGAGCCCCTTGAATGAGGCTCTTTCGGATGTTTCAGGGGTCAGGTGACTAGAATTTTTTTGTTTCCCTCAGGGGCTTAGAAAATCCTAAACTATTTTACACATCGACTCTAATTACAACCAAAACAGTCACATGTGGGGAAATATAACGTTAAAAGCCATGTAACCCATTATGTGTGTCAACATGTGTGCTGTATATTATCAGGCCAAACATTCAAGAGTATGTAAAACTGAACAATTTGGGAGATTTCAATTTATGATTAAAAAAAATGCTGTTGTTAAAAGTGACAGCAAATGGCCTCACCTGACCACTATCCATAAATAAAAGAAACCTTTTCTGCACGATCTGTCATATTTTCCATTAAATTGCCAATACTTCAGAAATTCTGCTCGGGGATGTACCAGCGCAATGTACAGCTTCTAAAATCATACAATTAAGAGCTTTTTCATATCACGGTCAGCGAAAATGTTCCACACTCAATGCAGATAAACCTGTACAATCCAATTTATCAAAACGGTTGCTG